CAGTTTATACTCGTATACTCATCGGAGTCTGGGGAAACAGTTTATACTCGTGTACCCAATGGAGTAATATGGTTGTCTTTACTCGACCTCTTTCGCCGTTATGACGCCGGAGTCAATTAATGCTTGGATTTTATTTTTGAGTCCGAAGCAAATCTCAGTGGGATGAAGAACCCTTCTGTGGTACGCACAGTAGTTTAGATCCGTAATTCTCTTAGCTCTCTCTTGAAATAGGTGGTAGCTCGATTTTATCATTAGCGATGAGGTATTCCAATATGGCTGGAGCTTCATCATCTTCGAAAGAATACTCCTTTTGGAACCTCGGATCGAGAGTCGCGTTCATAGCAATTGTAGATGTCGTCGGTTGGTTTCTCTCAGCTTTCTTTCTTTTAAGAAAGTGTTCAGCTTGTTCACCACGTAGTTTTAACTCTTTCCAAGTGGTGGATGGTACGACCCCCAGAGTTTCCAAGACATCAATGGAGAGGTTATTGTGGCATGTTTGCAGGATGAACTCCTCTGTAACAGGATCTCTGCAAGTCATTGCCTTGTTACGGAAGCGCTTGACAAAATTATCGACTGACTCTCCGTCTTTCTGCTTCTCATCCAGAAGAGTCCCGATTGACACTTCGGTGTCATCATCGAAGAAATTACTGAGGAACAAACTTTCCATGTCATCCCAGCAATTGATGCTCCCAGGCTTGAGACGTCGGTACCAATCGAAGGCGGGCCCACGAAGGGTGCCAACGAATGACCGAACCATTAAAGCCTCGTTTCCAGAAATCATGCCTAAATGAGACTTAAAATAAATCAAGTGTTGAATAGGCGAGCTCTTCCCCTCAAACGGTGTGAAAGTTAATCATATTGAACTTTGCCGGATACGGTATTGAATCCCATTCTCTTGGATAGGGACACGGAATACCTGTCTTTTTCCCTTCTTGAGCCGTCATCAAAGCGTTGATTTTGTTTTCAAGCTCTTTCATTTTCCCTTTATCGTCTATGTCTTCATTCGAAGGACGTTGAGGATAATGAGTTAGACCACCCCCTGTGAGAGGTGCTATTGAACCACCCCCAATCTCGTTATTGGGAGGGTTCGTTAAACCACCCCCAGCGTTATTGCTATTAGGAGGTGTATCAGCCATAATGACTTCATCCACTTCTGAATCACTGTCATCTACAACATTCTGAGTGTGGCGACTGGATTCAGCTCGCTGACTGGACTCAGGAGGTTGAGGCCGTTGAGTTAGCACTTCTCTCATTTGTTGGATAGCTAGCTCCATCTCTGTCTTCATCTCAGCTCTGATTTCTTCACGTTGCTTCGCTAGAGCTTCTTGAAGCATTTGAGCAAATTGATCAGAGGTGATCGTGAGTACTTCTCTGGTTTGTCCCGTGCTAGACATTGTATCATCAGAAGCGATTGCAGAACAAGTGTCCGAGAATTCATCCTCCGAGGACATTCCTTCTTGCATTCTTTTGTACTCTCTGCGTCTGATGGCTCCTAATTGGAGTCGAGACATCCTTTGAGCAATTCTTGGATTGACTTTTCCTTCTGGGGAAAAGTCGGGATTTGAGTCACTTGAATGCTGTTTAGACTTTCTTCTATCAGCTACGTTGATGGTGACTTCAGGGAATTCATCATCTTGGGCAGCTGGTTTTCTTTTGCGGAAATGTCTCGGTCTCGGCTTAGGCTTCGACAATACAGAGACTCTTCGTGGGATGGGTTCTCGTTTGAAACAGTCACATTCTGATAATGCTGCTTTAACGAGTCGCGCACAGGAACACCGAGAGTTTATTTCTCGAATAACTCTCTTTCGAAAATTATTCACAACCCCAACTTGATAATACGATTCATCGGTATGATTGCCAAAAAATCGTATCGTCTGTTGGCATGACCTCCCAGGTATGACGATATCATTTGGTGAATGCGTCTTCTTCTGGGGGTGTAAAACCTTATTGGCATTCTCAGGACAATTTATTTCTGTCTTTGAGCGATCCAAGGTTATGTCGGGTTACGTTTAAAACCACCCCCCCCCTTACGGGTATGGAGTCTTAACGGGCTCCGAATGCTGATTTTGCACAACTCCAGTTTTTGGAATCCAAACTTGGCAGAATTTCGGTGGTTCTTTGGTCACCGTTTCCTTCCTCCTTTCTCGTCTTTGTTGTAAGAGAGCACGGGCATGAGCAGCGTTTGCACGACGTTTTTGTATACGTTCTTTGAGGGTCGAACGAGTCCTTTTGACAATAGTCCATTCCTCCGTCGTTATTTTAGTAGAGATATGAGTGATTGGTTGTTGAGACAACTGAACCACTCGATGTCTCCTCGACTCTAGGTCCACGTGATAACGAACCCCATCGGTTTGTTCCCACGCCTTAGCCATTTTGCGAGCGCGGCGTTGGCGTTGTCTCTGACGAGCTCTTTTCGTCAATGCCGGTGGGCTTTGATTTAATGACTCTTTACTTGGCGAAGAGCCATTATGAGCAGAGAGGTTGTGAGTAGAATCCTCAGCAACAATCAGGCGAGAGTCTTCATTCTGTGCTTTCTTTGGCATGGAAGTCTTCTTCAATGGTGAGATCCTCTTGTACTTGCGAGACAATGAAGATCTTGAAGATGATGATGAGAGATATTCCTCAAACTTGGTTTGGTCGAATTCGTATTCGACCATGGATTCAACTGGAATCTTGATCGGCTGCGACACGACGGTCTCGGCAGCGAGACCGTTGGCTCCCACTGTGGTCGCCAGTTTGTTTGCGTCAAAAGTTGCTCTTGCTGTGGAATTCATTATATCTTCGGTCGATTACAACAAATTCAAAAGAATAGCCTTTTTATAAGACCTCTTTTACACAACAAAATAAAAATTACAACTCTTGAGAAACAAACGCAGGATCGTTGTTTGGATCGCTGCTTGCGTGGGATCTTTGCCTGTGCCGGGAGCGCTTTGACTCGTGGACCACCGAATCACAGATTCTGATTGAACCGTGAGGGGTTTAATGATTCTTCATTCGTTTATCGAAGTAAGAATTTGAAGCGAATAACTTATCGATGTAAGATGTTCACTCTTCTAAAGATCAAGTCAGAGCTTAGATCTCTAGGAATCGCCAGAAGCTTCTTGAAGATGTTTGTGAAGAAGGAAGACTCTCTTTCTTGCTCTAATTCACCAAAAAAAAACTCAAGGCTCTCTGCTCTAATCTGCCCTCCCTCTTTATTTCATGCCTAGGGAGGTATTTATAGGGGTAGAGATGCACAACAGTTGAAACAGAGGCGAAACAACTGACTCGATGAATCCTCTTTGGCCGCTGCAGTCGACACTGCCGCGGCTATTGGCGCGGCAGTGTGGACTGCCGCGGCCAAAGGGGTGGTTACCAGCACGTTCCATCGTGCTTGAAACCGTTCTCCCACGACCTTTAACCACCTTTTTCGTGGTTTAACTGCTTGTACACGTCAGCACACGTTCCCTTTCTGATATGTTGCCACGTGGTCTTCAAAAAATCATCGTATAACTGCCTTATAACTACCGCAGCACCCCCATAATAGCCGCGGCACCATGAGCTGCCGCGCCTAAGGCGCGACACCTTTAACTGCAGCACCTAAGGCGCGACACTCTGAACTGCAGCGCCTAAGGCGCGACACTCTGAACTGCAGCGCCTAAGGCGCGACACTCTGAATTGTCGCGCCTAAGGCATGTCACCCTGGCTCGCTTGTTGGTGTATTTATCATTGTGTCCACACTGCTCTTTTCTCATCCTTGAGTAGTGTTTGGATATCTATGAGCATTTTTTGATGCCTACACTAACCTAAATAAAATGATTTATCAGTAACGACTCCTAACAACTTATGTTAACTAAAAAAACAAGGAAAGGACGGAACAAAACGTGGGGTACATGGAGAGCAAAACGAAGCAAAAGACCAGCCTAAAAATAATTCAAGAAATAGAAACCTGATTAAATTTTCGCATATACAATATCATTTTCAATTTTGATTCTTTGTTGCATTATTAAATCTCTTTTCATTAAGGCAGATTATCAAACATATTGTGTGCTATAGTTTAGTTCACTCTACATTAGATCAATATGTATCAAATTGAGCCTTTATTTCATTGAGAATATCATCAAACACATTGTGTGCATCATGATAAGAGGATGGTGAGCATCACTTTTTGATCACTGCTTCATTGAGATAAATTGACAAACATATCTATGCATCACCGTTTTAAACTTTACAAATGATCAAACATAATTCTAGCAACATTATCTAGTCACAACCAACAATCAAGCAATAGTTGCTACATAAACCCAGTACAACGTATCATTAATATTCATAATCAAATTACAAAATGCATTATGAAAAGTGCATCATAATAATCAAGAACAAAAAACCCCAATAGGACATATACTCTCATAAACTGCTCTCTCAACATAATAAAAAGTTATATTCTCAGTAGCATACGAATACAAAACATGTAAGTTACGTTTCAATCAATTTTGCATTTCTGAATTTAAAACAAAGCAAATAAGGCATAAAGAACAATCTATTAAACCCATAGATTACAAATGAGAAGAGTAACCTAACAATTAATAACAATAAAAGGACTCCATATGAAATATTAATCAGAAATCAACATCTATGATGACCGATAAGGCAAATAAAAAGGCTTTGATTCTTCATAGTTCATCAAGAGAATGCAACAAGATTAACAATGAGACTTACATATTAAGAAGCCTACATTTTTAGCAAGTAAAGAGGATGAATATTGCAGATTGCAAGCACACTTACTAACATACAAGCAACTAAAAATTCTTATAGAATCATAATTAAATGACAAGAGTACAAAAAGCACTCATGAGCTATCTGCTAATAATCATTCTTCATTCTCTAAACAAAAAATAGCAAACAGACTACATTATTCAGACACGGGAATCCTAATTAAACTCATCCAATTCAACCAAAATGGCAACACTATATTAATTAAAGACATTTAAATATCTAGAGCCATCAACACTCGGCATTACCTCAAACAATGAAACCCTAACAACAAAACTCCCTCCACTCACTCAAGCGGGACCTCAACAACACCTTCGTTGATCTCCTTCTGTAGATCCTTAGGGTCCTTGTCGTCAATAGTGCACCCGACAGTGACAGTAGAACAAAAAACCCCAACAAGCCACTGTCAACTGACAGGAGGTGGAGTGGTCACCGGTGCCACGATGCACGTGGACGTCACTGTAGGTGGAAGAGGCAGAGGGTGAGGAGGAGGGCTCGTCGACGGTGGAGTCAGAGGCGCCAGAGGTAGCGGCAGAGGGGACAGTCACTAGGGATTTGAGAGATTGGGGTTTGAGATGAGGGATTTGAGATGTGGGATTTGAGGGGATGGAGACGACGATGATGATGAGGAGGAGGCAGATTCTTGGGAGTTTGAGATGAGAGATTTGAGAGATTGGGGTTAGGGATTTGGAAGGGTGCGGATGTTTTAGAGTTTGGGGGAATTTTTTTGGGGAGGCGGGTTTAGTTAAGGAAGAGAATGGAGAAAGATACATGTTTTATTTAAAAAAATAATAATTAAAACACCCAAACGGTTTAACCCGTTTGGGCTAAACATCCCCAACGACTAAAACCGTTTGGCGTAGCGTTTGGGATCTCCTTCTCGCCCAAACGGTGGAAACCGTTTGGGCTGTTTTGTTTTATACTTGTGGGATTTTCAAGTTTCATAACCTAGAACCACCAAGAAAATATACTACAACCCTAAAAAGACGATATTTTCAACAAGAAAATCGAAAAGAAAGTTACCCTAAAAAATAGTGAACTGGTCTAAAAAACTTACTAGTAAAATTTTTTTGTACCTCATCTTTGTGGAACCCTAGAATTCTAAAGAACTCCCTCAATTTTAAGAGAAAACCTTAATTTCTTTTACATTTCTTTTGCCTAGAAAAAGACTTTCTGGTTCCTTGTAATTAACCCTCTCAATTAAATTAAGCCAACAGCTTCAGTACTCTAGTAAATAGATTTTGGAGTATCGATGACATGGTTAGTAATTAATTACCATAATTATCACTCTCTCGTTTCCATCTAATGCACTACGGTCAGTTTTGGGAGTTCCACTGGCAACTTTATGATTTATGTTGATTTCAAGGGCATTGAAGGTACATTTCGCCAATCATCTTCATCGTCCATCCCAAATTCCTACGCTCTACATTCGACAAAAAATTTGTGATTTAGCCCAACAAGTTATCCTCGAGTGTCAATGAGACACAAAGGAGATTTTAGCGAGATCATCTTCAACATATGTGTATGTACACACACACAAACACACACACACACACACACACACACACACACACACAAAAGAGATATGGGGAGATGGTGAGATGGTTTGCTTAACGTGAGATAGCCATTCTACACCGTTAGATTCAAATTAATGGTTAGATTTAAACTAATGATTAATTAATTAAAAATATGTGACCCTCACATTTATTTGACTTTCATGCCAAATCTTCTCTAACCCTAACCCTAACCTGAACCTAAACCTGAACCCGAACCCAAACCCAAACCTGAACCCACTAACCCTAACACTAACCTGATCCCTAACCCAAACCCGAACCGACTAACCCTAGCCATAACCCAAGCCTAACCCAAACCCGAACTAGAATCCTAATCCTAACCCGAATCTAAACACACTAATCCTAACCCTAGCCTAAGCCTTAACCCAAACCCTAACCCTAGCCCAAGCCCTAATCCTAACCCAAACCTGAACGCAAACCCGAACTCAAACTCGAACCCTAACGCTAATCCTAACCTGAACGCAAATAAGAAAGAGAAGAGGCAAAAGGGAGGATATGAGAAAACTTAGAGAAGATTTGGCGAAGAAATTAAATAAATGAGGGGGGCATATGTATTTAATTAATAAACCTATTAGTTTAAATTGAATCATTAATTTGAATCTAACAGTGTAAAATAACCATCTCGCATTAAGCAATTTTCTTTCATTGTCTTTTTACTGCAAATTTCCAACAAACACCCTCTCCCTCTCCAAGTTCACCTCCGGCACCCACGTGGGCCTCGCTGCCGCGACCCTGCGTCCTCCTCCTCCTCCTCCAAATTCCTCACCACAACGAGCTCCTCCGCCTTCCCACGGTCCCCAAGGAGCGCTCCCCGAGGATGTCAAGGGCTCCCGCAGGTTCCGATCCTACGGGTACGGCGCCGGCGGGGGCACGAGACCCATAGCTAGGAACCAAGTTTAGGGTGAACCTATCGCTGTTTGACCATCCGTTGAGCCATGTGAAAAGTTCTATTCATTCAAAACTATTAAAATTAATATGAGTGGATGAAAGGTCAAACGACGACGGGTTCACCCTAAACTTGGTGTGTTGGGGTTTGGGGTTTTAGAATATGTAGATCAAGTTCAACGGAGCAGATCATTCATAATATAGCTCAATCATGTGATTTTAGGCAACGTCCTTAGATGATTATCTAAGGGTCACCTTAGGAACACTTCTCCCATACATGTGTGTGTGTGTGTGTGTGTGTGTGTATAGACACACACACACACACACACACATACACATACATATATACATATACATATATGTATACATATACATATATGTATATATATACATATATATGTATAGATGCGTGTGTGTGTGTGTGTGTGTGTGTGTATGTGTGTGTGTGTGTATGTGTGTGTGTGTGTAGGGAGAAGTGTTCCTAAGATGACGCCTTAGATAATCATCTACGGACGCAGCCTAAAATCACATGATTAAGTTACATTGTAGATGATCCGCTCCATTGAACTTGATCTACATATTCTAAAACCCTAACACACCAAGTTTGAGGTAAACCCGTCGTGGTTTGACCCTTCATCCACTTGTATCAATTTTAACGGTTTTGAATGAATAGAACTTTTCACATAGCTCGACGGATGGTCAAACGACGATGAGTTCACCCTAAACTTAGTGTATTAGGGTTTTAGAATATGTAGATCATATTCAATGGAACAGATCATCCACAATATAGCTCAATCATGTGATTTTAGATCGCGTTCTTAGATGATTATCTAAGGCGTCACTTTAGGAAACCCTAAACTTAGTGTATTAGGGTTTTAGAATATGTAGATCATATTCAATGGAACAGATCATCCACAATATAGCTCAATCATGTGATTTTAGATCGCGTTCTTAGATGATTATCTAAGGCGTCACTTTAGGAACACTTCTCCCTAATT